CTCCGCTGCGATCCACAAGTAAAAATAACCTCATGAATGCAATCTTCAAACCGAAGGTCAGTAATGACTCCAGTCGAAATTACTTGTTGTCTGTGAAATTAAAGCTTAAAAGATTAAGATGCATGCAAGCCAACTGTACGACACAACTAGGTTAGAAATAGATTACAAATGTCCCAAACTTTTCAATAAACAGTGTTCTACCTGGTTATTAAAACTCTGTTCACGGTTTCCTCTACTTGGCTCTTCACTGCAACATCTCCCTCTTAGGTGTATTTTCACACCCTGCACAAAGCTGAGGGCACACCAGCTGATGATTCCTCCATGCCTGCCTCCCTACCCTACCACCCAACCATGGATTACCATGAAGCATCACTCAATCTCTGTTTGAAGGGCTGCATTTGGTAGCACTGCATCTCTTGTCGCATTCTTTTACGTTCTTGTAACCTTTCTTTGACAGTGAAAAGCAGATAAAACACAGCAGCTAAGTCGTGTTTGAGACACACAACTTAGTTGTACAGATGATAGAGAATATGCATTAGTGTCACAGATAAATGAAGAAACAGCTGCAGAAACATCCATCCCACAGTCAGCATTTGGGGAAACGAGGACTGTCTGTAAGTACTTCCATACACTAAAACCTTCTACAGCTCAACATTTACAGCTACTGTGATTAGGCAGATCTTTCTCTGTGTGCCCATGTAAAACAGAATTATAACATTACATTAGGATCCAAAAGAAAAGCTTCCAAGTCTCACTGTCACAGTCAAATAGGCTGCACTCAGCCATCCGCATGGGTAAACTTTACCTCGTTGGGATAAATTTGATCAGAGACTTCAAAATTAATCACAGGTTGAGTTTCTCAGCTTCCAGAGGCTCAGATGAAGATATTGTAAAAGAGATTGAATTTATGAGTGTGCCTGCTAGTTCAGAAAACCCAGCCTTTGCCTGCCATTTGGTTTGGCCATCCAAAACCAGAGGCAGCTTCAATCAATTGTCACTTTTTGAAAATGAACCCTCATGTGCCAACCTCAGGCGATTTCATTGCTCATGTCAGTGAGAACAGAAAAATCCCTCCAGTCCAGAGTTCTCACTGGTGATCTGCAAAGTCTCATCAACACTAACTGGAAGAGAAAAGCAACTCACTTTCAGGTTACTGAAGCACACCTTCCTATTCTCAGTAGCAAGCAATGACACGAATCCTTTTGATATAATTTAGAACTACCTTAGTTTTGAAATTAGTAAGTCGTGAGCCCCTTCTTATGGTGTCTCTGACTTGCACTGGATTTGAAACTTTTTCACATTTTCTGTTCTGCTTAAAAACAAACAAGGGAGAAGAGGAGAGTTGTAATACTCAACACTAGCAGCATTATCTTCACAGTTGCTTGCAGCAATTTTGCTTGCACTTATTAACACGTTCCTAGAATTTGTAACAGAAAATTTCAGCTCTGGGCTGGCACAAGACAGGCACATGGTTAATCTCCCTGGTTTGTTGACACTATTCAAACCAATCTAATTTCCAGCCCAACTCTGCCCATTCTGTCTGTGTCACAAATAAAATAGGAGCACAATAGTGCAATAAAGCTGATTTTTGTCTACATCAACTGCTTTTTTAGCATGAGAGCAGCTCTTCAGGAGACTTACAACGCTCCCACAGCTATTTGGAAGCCCTAAAATGAGGCATAGCAGCAGTGGTTGGGTGGTTTTCAGGCACCCATCCTGCAAGCAGCTCGGCGTGTGGAAATGAGTTTGGCTGCAGTTGCTTGCAGGACTGGGGCTCTAGCTACCAAGTTGATAGATTCCTTAAAATTGCCAAATTAAGAGCATAAATAAAGAAACGAAGTGGAAGCTTTTCTAATTGCTGCTTTGCTTGATGGCTTCTGGCAGCCCGCTCCCATGCTATTCCAGAGTGACTCCTGAGAATGCAGCAGTTCTCCCCTCTCTCCTCTTTTCCCTTTGCGATGCATCAGCTCCCAGCAGCAGCACCCTCTCACATGGGTTCTGGCCGTGATCTCCACTGTCCTTACCACCCCCCTCCAGAGCGGGAAGCCTACCTGAAAGGCAGAGGAGAAAAGCAATGCAGGAGTGTGTTGGATGCAGCACATCCTGGTGCACGGTGGGGCCTGGAGATAGGGCAGGGTGGGCACTGGGCAGGAGGAGGCCTTCCCTTCTGGACCCACCGTGCTGGATGAGGGAGCCTTGCTATCAGCCTTCAAGGGACTTCAGAGAGACATGTCCTGGAAGGAGAGCGCTTTGCTGGGTGTTCCAAGCTTCTCAGGGCATGTGTTATCCACTGGGAGAGTGAAAGATGTTCACGTGGCAAAAAATGTAAGCTGCTCCCATCAGCACTTAGAGCCAGAGGGAGATGCACTCCGAACAAAGAAAATGCCATAGGATGCTGTATGTCAGGAAAAAAACCAGGCCCATGCTAGCTCTAATTGGCACCTAAAATGACAAGCTCGTCCTTTTGTCTTTAGTCTCTCTGAACTTTGTTTTCCTATCTTTAAAACACTCCTCCATCTCACAGAGGTTTGGGGAAAATTAATTAATCGTTCACCAACTGCTTAGATACAACAGCAACGACATCGGCAGAAGTTCAAGAGGAAATTAATAATTCTGCCTCTGGAACAGGGTTTGAATAGAGCCTGGTAAATAAGGCAGAAGGGCACACACTGAACAATGAACAGAAAACAAAATAATGAATAGCTGCTCATTAAGTGAGTAAAGTCCATTCTGAGCTCCGAAGGAGGCAGGGACCCTATGGAGAAACCAGCATGTGCTCATGTAATTAAAGACCATAATCATGCATACACGGTGGGGGGGGCAAATGAAGGTTGTGCAAAGAACCTTAAAGCTGCTATTTTATAACTTTTCAGTGTTTGACTTTCAACCTCAATAATGCTCTTTTAATGCATTTTTTTTGGTGCGTAGTGTCATATAGAGAGAGGTGTGGGCATCGTGCTTTCCTTTTCAGTTCCAGCAGTGGGAAGTCTATGCTGATTTGTTCTGGGAAGTGTGCAGTTATTAGCCATTAAAGGCTTAGAAAAATAACCAGAGTTGGTGTTCAAAGAAACGTATACCTATTTCTTGAGGGTGTGGGTTTTTGTGTTTAAAGATGGTTCTCTGGCCCATGGGCACTACAGCAATCCCAAGCACCCACTCCTCTGCAATTCCTCATGCAAACTGGCACCAGGATCATCTTGAAACTGTCCCCCCAGCTGGTGAGATCCTACATGTAAGACACGAGCGGAACCAGGGAAGACAAAATCAGGACAAACCAGGCCTGATCACAGTTCTCTGCTTGACAAAAAGACTCACAGACTTGCTTAGGATGACCTAGGGCAACCAGTCCTTTCCTGTTCTTCCGAAAGCTGTCATGCATGGAAAGCTGAAGGCATTTACCAGAACATTTTGGCTGTGTTGCATCCTCCAGAAACAAACACCTCCCACCCACAAATGAAGATGACTGACACTTTGTCCACCCCCAAACTTCATCAAGCCTTCTCCAGTGAAAGCTGTCATTTGTAGCTAGTTTATTAGCAGGCTTCAGGCTTGCAGTCAATGATGTGGAGAGTGAAAATCAAAAGAATTAGCTTCTCTGTCATCGTGCTAAACAGTTAATCTTCTTCATTTGTTTGAAAAAAGCAACCCGAGGAGACAGTCCTACTGATTACAGAAGATCTCTGGGAAACACAGATCTGTGCCCTGGGAAAGCTTTGGTAATTAAAAACTAGCCTGAATCAATTAGCTTTTCATAGTAAGAGCTGCAGGAGAACCACTAACATATTGAACAAGAGCTTGGAGCTTTCAGCTGCATGTTCCCATGCAAATCAGAGTTAGGTGTCTGAAAAGTTGCTCTGGATTCTTCCCCAAACCTCCCCATAATGAAAATGCTCATCTTCATCCTGAAAAAGTTCATGGTTAAAATAAATAAAATTGGATTATGAATGTTCTCAGGAAAGCCTAAGTTCTCTGCTTGCTTTCTCACATTGACCAAGTTACAAAAGCCTCTTCTTTCAAACTGTTCTTCCAGAGCTACTCTCTTGTTCTGCATCGATCCTGTTACCCTGCTTCATCTCTATGCAGACAAGTCTGTATGGTAGGATTTCAAAGAACATCTGACAAGATCATAAAAATACTGGGCATGTTGACAAGCACTAAGGTGAATGCAGATTCAGATATTTAATTATGCAGAGTCAATCACGTCAGCAATTCAGACAGCAGCTCAGATCTCACAACTTAATTACTTTAATTTCAGATGAATAGTTTGTGTTGTCATTTTTAGTTTGACATACTGGAAAACAGTCAGACATTATACTAAGAATGGACAGCCCTACTGTTAGTGAGGTAAAATTTGTTGTATCCTTGGGAATGTTCAAAATCTGACTGGAAAAGGCCCTGAGCAACATGGTTCAACCCTGAAGTCAGCCTGCTTTCATCTGGGGGTGGTGGGAGGCTCTTGGTTGCACACCTCCAGAAGCCCCTTTCCACATTCTGAGAATCCAAGGATATAAATAATGAGATAACCTACAAGCCAAATCCTTCTCATTTAATTCCAAAGTCATGTCAGTCGTCACAATGCCCCTTGGACAAAGGCAGCATCTTTTCTGATGCTCCAGAAGTGCCATCATTACTTTGGATGGCTCTTTCATGGCTCACCAACTGGCATTCTTACCAGCCAGATGCAAACACACTTCCACGCTCCTTTCCATGCACCAGAACATCACAGCACACCCTTCAATAGCTACCAAGAGGATGTGTTCAGTAACCAACTTTTATTCCTTTGACCACCTACATATCTCAGGAAGCTTAAAACATCCGAGCTGATATTTGCTCTTCTGCTTTTCATTTCAAAACATGTAAGAGAAATAGAATAGGCCCCTGTTAAAAAGGACAAAACCAGGGAAGTTTGTGGCAGGGTTGCGACCTGGCAACTGGATTTCACAATAAAGCCAAGGCATGTGATGAAGCAATTACTGTTAGGAATCATTAAATGCTCTTACCTGTCCTGCAAACAGCCCACACACACCAATAATACAGAGAATGTTAAATACAGCAGAGCCTACGATGGTTCCAACGCCTACGTCTCCTTTTGTGATAAAAACACCTGAAAAACAAGTTCAAGGCAAGCTGTGTAAATTGGAAAGTACAGAGTTTTTCCTCTAAAATTGCTCCATTAATGAATCTAAAGGCATACACCAGCTCTGCTGCTTTTACTCATATTTAACAGGGCAACTTGCAGAGAAAAGTAGTAGGGTGATTAAAGGCAACAGAACTTTCTGTGGGGATTCAGAAGGATTATCTAATGAAAACCAAGCATCTTAAACATTTCTAAATCACCAACCTCCTAGTCTAGCCACAGACATGACAAAGGACAATAAGCTCCTTGAGAGCATCTCGTAGGACACAGATCTGCAGGAAACTATCTCCTCACCACTCTCTGCTCTTCCACGTATCCTCAGCCCTGCTGGCTCCACTAGGCAAGTGAGCAGATTGAGAGCTCTCACAATGGATTTTGGGGCTCTGTTACAAGCTCGTTTCAGAGCTCTTCTGTCAGATTTGGTTACACTTGGCCAAGGAGGATAATGGTGAAGAAGATGAACTGACAGACACATGCATCGTGGAACTGCACAGAATTCTTTCCTTAGGAAGTCAGCCTAAAAATACACTCCATCCCCTGCTAGCTGTCAGTCTGTTTAAATTCACCATTTGCTTTTAAGTTTCCAGCAGTATTTTTCTGGCTGTTGGAGTTTAGATTTTTTTTTTCCTCTACTTTTCCCTATTCTGAGACACACGTTACCCAGAAGTGTGCCCCCCACCCCTAAGAGCCATTCAGTATCTGGTGGATTACACCACAGCAAGTCATTAGGGCTCCTTTAAGCTGTCTGAGGGAATCTGATTTTATTTTTGCCCTGCTGCAGCTGCACTACCTTTAACTACAATACAATCTCAGGTCTGTGGGCTTCCATTTCGTGGCTTCAAGGCCAGGCTGGATGCAGCTTTGAGCAATGGTCTGGTGGGAGATGTCCCTGCCTAGAGCAGGAAGGTTGGAACTAGATGATCTTAAAGGTCCTTTCCAACACAAACCACTCTGTGACTCTATGATTGTAACTTCCTAGATTTTGTGGCTTTGATCACCACTCTCTGCATCATATGCAGCTTGGTATGAATTAATCTGTGCTCTGTCTCTGACAGATGCTACTGAAGTAGAAGGATCTTCTAGAGAAGGTAACTAAGCTCAACATAATTCCATCACTTCCCTTCAGTGATGGAGAGCTCACCTTAACCTTCCATTCATTATTTTAATAATTACATACCACCAGAGATGCGGACATGTAAAACTGCAACACTCCACCATATACCTGGCAGAATACATGTAGATCGTTTCACAACATCTTTCTGACTCAAGTCCCCTCTTAGCTTGAGGCTATAGAAGGAACACCAGCTCTCCTCGTGTTTCACAGATCTAAGTACTGCTCAATCTCTGGATCACGTTCTCCATACGCAGGGTGCTGCGCTGGTAGCAGGATGCTCTCACCACCCTGTTGCTGTGAGTAAGGGTCTCAGATCTTTTCTTTGGCTTTCCAAGAGGGAAGCATGGTTAGATAACTAACCAGAGAGGAGGCGATAACAGAAAATGTGCATAGAATGAATGGCCTAGGTTGAAAAGGACCACAATGATCATCGAGTTTCAACCCCCCTGCTATGTGCAGGGTTGCCAACCACCAGACCAGGCTGCCCAGAGCCACGTCCAGCCTGGCCTTGAATGCCTCCAGGGATGAGGCATCCACGGCCTCTCTGGACATCTGAGGACAGAAACACTTTGCCTGGTGATCAACTCAGAGACTGAAGAGCCTTAGAGCTAGTGTGGCAGAGAGCACAGAAGGGTGGAGAGGATGGGAGGAGAAGGCTGTGTGTATATGGCTCAGTGCTCTGTACCTTGGCTGTGCCATAGCAAGATAAGGCTAACAGGTAGTTATGAGAAACTGCCTGCATTTCTGACCTTGCTTAGGCTGGTACAATCAAACCACTTCCAATGCAGCCCTGCTGTGAGATAATTGTACTTTTTTAGTGCCTCTTCATCTAGTGAGGATTCCCCACAGTTAATCCTGTGCATGTCCGTGAGGGAAGAGGCATAAATATTATAGGTGCTTAGCAATCTCACGTCAACTCTGAAAAACAGCATGGCAAAAGAGGAGGTTTCAAAGAGCAGCATGTTAGTTACCTATGACAGATGTAAACAACTCTGGAGCAGAGCTTCCAGCTGCCATGAAAGTCGCCCCAGCCACATCTTCACTAAGATGCAAGCGCTGCAGAAAAACACATCAGAGTTATTGATTACAGCACCGACAGGCGTATGGAATTCAACTAGAAATGTTACAGTCTGCTCAGAGTGGGAAATTGCCAGTATGCATTTAAAGGTTAAACAAAGGGAAAAAAGTCATCACGGGCACATATATATATATATATACACATGGTGTGCAATACGTGGCTTATCTCACCCAGTCTGCCTGTTAGAGATAGGGCTGGAGTGAGGCTTCATCCATCCCCTGACCTGCCCTGAAAATCATTTCAGCCTTACACAGTTAATCTGTCTTCACCCTTCTTTCACTTGGATCATCGTAACAAATACCCCCTACAGCCCTCCTCTAGGAACACCTACTCCTGTTTAAAACAGTTGTTTCTGGAAGGAAAACGGCCCTCTCCTCTATGAAAACTTTATTGGCATATACAGTTTTCAAAGATTTATTTGGTTAATTGCTTCCTTTATGTTTTCTTCATACCCACTGTTCCATCTGTGCAAGACACCGTTCAGCAAATGTGACAAAGCTGTTAAAACCACATGCCTTGCTGGCACCCTCCGCATTTTAATCTGAGGAGCTAAAAAAAGCCACCCCTTGCCATACGGTCATAAACTGCTGTGTTGTTACTACACGAAGCTGCCTTGCTCACATGCGTGCGAGTCAGCAGCTGCCATTTTACAAGCATGGGGAAGGCAGCCGACAGCGGTGGGAACATTTCCCTAGCAGAACCAAAGGCAGCCCAACCAACCTTGCAGGCCAGGAGGAGTCTTCCTCTCCCCTCTGCCCTTCCTAGCTGTGCAGAGTTACTCTGCAGTCTTCTCATTATTAAAGGACATTTGCAGAGAGAAAAGACTGCTCCTAAAACGTGAAGGAACTCCCTCTTCCCAACTCTAACTTGATTAAAGATCCCACAAAAAGATATTTCAAGCCTATAAAAGAATTCAACTTTACCCACTCAATGTATTCGTATAATAAAGAATTCTATGTATGTTTCAGGGACAAGGGAAAAGGAGAAGATATGCCCTAATCAAAAATGCTTTTTAAGCAGGAGGCCAGTGATTGCTGTACTGCTGTAAAAGCTTGTGGAACCTGATAAAACACGGCTTTATAGAGAGCGATAATAGATAGCATCAATATAATTATAGAATAAGTTTATAGGAACAGAAGTACATCCCCAAAGGCAAGGTTCTTCTGTAGGATTCTCTGTGGGTATATAGAAGCAGTCATCCCCCTGAAGTCAGTCCACAAACAGATGGCATATTTTGAAAAGATCAGGAATCGAGAAAACCAATTGAGTTGGTTCACCAGCAGGTTCCCTTGAGGACATTTCCTAGATAATTTACTGCAATACATGTGATGGCTAAGCTAACATAATAGGCTGGAAAATATGGCCCACTGTGTAAGAGTCAGAAATGTACTCAGGTATCTGTAGGCCGCGTTTGCAATTGACACTGTGACGTCAGTTGTGCATTGTAAAGGCACTGCTACATCAAAGAGCAACTGGGCAAACATAGCTACAAATAGTTTTAGAAAACTGGGGCATTGGTTTGGTTGTAAATACATCTGAATAAAGAAAGAACACGAATATCTATCATAACAAGTGTTCTGGAACCGATTTTCATCTGTACACACGTATCTGGGAACATAAATGCACCCAAATTCAACAACCACTTTCCAAACTAATGGAGCTAAGCCAGAAAAAGGGCATTTATTTCAAAATCAGTGTATCTGATCTGTCAGCACAACCCTGTCTCCTTTCCTGGTAACAGCACTCTCCCTTCCTCTCATGCTGGCTGTGCTCAGATTTAGCCTTAAGAGAGCTCAGAACGTCCTGCCTCGTGCTGTCATCCTTCAGTCACCTGAATATTTAGGCACTGCGATAGTGGAAGTCCTGGGGACTTTTTTTTTTGATGAAGAAAACCAGGCAGCACAGTAGAGTGCTGGGCTACAAATATCAGGTTAGCTTAGAGTTGGATTCCATCAGAGCTGTCAACACAGATGATTTCCCCTACTGTCTCCCACGCCTCGTCCCAGGGCCCCCAGCACAGCTGTGGTGGGTGACACTAGCAGGCAGAATGGCAGGCAGACCTCCAGCTGGCACAGACATCAGCCTGGCAAGACTGAACCACGTTGTCTACATGCAGCAAAGGTTTCCTTGTCTGAGATAGGAGAGGGCTTACAGTCACTTCATGCACATGGTCTGTCTTTATCCTGTCTCTGTCTGAATTGATTCAGGCTAAAACAAAGTCCTTATCTCCTAAAATTTTAGCAAGTCAGCCTTAGCAAAAGAAGGGCAGAACCTCCTCCTGTTGCTGGAGATGTTTAGGAGCTTCTTTACAGCCGACCTAACGTTCTGCAGCATTCTGAATGTAAGTCAAGACATAAGTGCTGTCTAAAACCTAACCAGTCATATGCAGCTCTGGATTGAGGGAGCCCAAAACTTTCCAGCCTTGGCAGGGCAGCAGGAGGGATGTGCAGCTCCCCAGTTCCACAGGTAGCAAGAGGCAGGACACAGCTCACAGGCAGCCAGCTTGGAGCTCAGTGACCCTCTCTTGCCCTGGAGTTTTCACAGGTGCATCTAAAGCCTCATGCTCATCAATGCAGGGGAGATCATTAAAGAGATTAAAACTGGAGGCAGCTGATGCTGTAGTGATTATGCTCAGGTCAGATCTGTGATCCCAAGGAACACCTAGGTTTGGCAAGGAGTAAAGTCAGGATCTTCTATGATGGTGTGATGGCATTCGTAGACAAAAGAAGGGCAACGGATGTCATTTGCCTGGACTTGCAAAAGACTCTGACATTTTCTTGCACCATAACCATATCTCTAAATTGGAGAAAGAGGGATTTGAAAATTGGACATTCAGTAGATAAAGAACTGGTTGGATGGTCACAGCCAAAGGGTTGGTCAGTGGCACTATGTAAACGTTGAGTCGGTGAGGAGTGGTGTCCCCCAGGGACTGGGGCTCTTGGGACTGGTGCTCTTCAACATCTTTATCAACAACACAGACAGTGGGATCGAGTGCACCCACAGCAAGTTTGCTGATGACATCAAGCTGAGTGATGCAGTTGACAAAACGTAAGGAAGAGATGCCATCCAGAGGGACCTGGGCAGACTTTAAAAAAAGTGGGCACATGTGAACCTAACCAGATTCAGCAAGGCCAAGTGCAAGGTGTTGCACATGGATTGAGGCAATCCCAGATATGTGTACAGACTGGGAGAAGAACTCATTGAGAGCAGCCTTGCAGAGAAGGACTTGGGGGTTCTGGCAGACAAAAAGCTGGACATGAGCCAGCAGTGTGCGCTTGCAGCCTGTAATGCCAATTGTGTTCTGGGCAATTGTGTTCAAGGAGTGGCAGCAGGGCAAGGAAAGGGATTGTCTCCCTCTGCTCTGCCCTTGCAAGAGCCCACCTACAGTTCTGTGTCCAGGCCTGAGGCCCCCAGCACAAGTAGGATGTGCAGCTATTGTAGCAGATCTAGAGGAGGGACATAAAGATGCTCAAGGGCTGGAGCACCTCTCCTACGAAGACAGGTGAGGCTGAGGGAGGTGGGCTTGTTCAGCCTGGAGAAGAGAGAGCTCCAGGGAAACCTCAATGCAGCCTTCCAGGACTTGAAAATTTATAATCAGGAGGGGGAGGAACTTTCTACATGGTCTAATAGCGACAAAACAAAGAGAAATGGCTTTAAACTAAAAGAGAGGAAATTCATGTTAGATGTTAGGAAGAAATGCTTCTATCAGAGGGCAGTGAGGCCCTGGCACTGCTGCCCAGGGAGCCATGGGTGCCCCATCCCTGGAGGAGCCCAAAGCCAGGTTGGATGGGCCCTGGCAGCCTGAGCTGGTAGGGGGCAGCCAGCTCACAACAGGGGTTTGGAAATATACGTTCTTTAAAGTCCCTTCCAACCTAAGCCAATCTATGATTTACGAGGGAGTATCTCCAAGTTCATGCACCAGGAGAGATGCAGCCCATCTCCTGTGAGTGAGAACTATGAACCTGAGCCAACTCACACAGGCAGTGCTGAGCAACTAAACAAAAAGCATGGGGAATGCTCTAAGACAACAGCAAATACACCATCATCACATGTTGGGGCTCTCAAGGAGAGCTACTGCTAAAGCAGCACACATTTCTAATAATACAAATTTCTAATACTTACTTCACAAATCTTTTCCAATGAAGGGACAAAGAAATCATCGCAGACAATTGCCAAAGCATAAAACATATACATGGCCTGAAAAAGAAAAAAAAGAGATTGTTGAGTCTGGAGATTGTCAAGCAAAGAAACTGAAGTAACTGCAGTATCCCAACTCATCTTAGGTTTGCCTTGGTATATACTTCAAAAGGAAATTCTCTTGCAAGAAGACTTTGGGGGGCTCTGTGGGATTTAACAGAAAGATCATGACACATTTATCCAAAAGTTCTATCAAGTTCTAGGAAACTGCCAGCACTTTATCATCATTCTAACAACTGCTTTTGAAAAGCAAATCTCTGGATATTGCTGAGCTGCCCTTCGCTTTCTGCTCTGATGTACAGTGTAAAGCTTTTTTATGACTGCGCTTCAGGAAAGCCTGGATTCTCAAGGAGCACCTTTTGAAATGCTGGTGCTCTGAAACAGTGGAAAGGATCTTATCTTCTACAGTCATCTGGGACAAACAAGCAAAGTTTTATATCCAAGCTTCTGTGAAACAGGGGAAGCGGGAGAGGGCAACTGCATCTTCTGAAGACCTGCAAGAGAGGTCAGAGCTCACCCCCCTTGCAGCACTGTGAGTATACAGCATATCTATCACATTTGGCATCACTGTGAGGAACCAGAAAAGGATCTATCTACATAAGCTGCTAAAAAGCTGCCACAGAGAGATGCTATGATACCACCTCGGATCTCATTCTCAGCAGATTATGGTATCAGCAAACATTTATCTATTTCTGTATGGATGTAAAAGCACAAAACTATGAGAGATCCTTCAATTCTGGGCTTGTGAACAGTGCAGTGAAGCCCAGGACATTAAGCCTGGAACAAAATGCACTTGCAGCAGCTGCACACAAACTAGCTGTGTCTGGAAATGAACTATGAAAGGCTGCATGCAGCGAGGCAGGAAAGAGGAACACCTGAGCTCCTTTCTTCATTCCCCTCCATGAGCTTGCTGCCAGGAGCTGCATCCAGTGCTCACAGCCTTCCATCACATCTCATGCTCCTGCACGTTTCCATGCAGTGTGTCTTCACATTGCAGACCACAGCATTACCACTGTTTTCAGTGCACGTGGGTCTTGATTTTTTAGTTGTTTTCAAGATAGAGCTTCTCACCTGTCAAACCACCTCCTGTAAGTAAAAGGAGCTGAGAGAAGTGGCCAACATTTGTAGGAAAAGTGTCTGAGACCTATTGATTTGGACCTTCAGAATGTAAACAGTAGCTATAGGATGCCCCATCTCTGCCTCATTTTGGACTGTTCACTCTGTGCTCCCACACATAACTTGAGATGCTATGATGAAATCAGGTTGCTCAGCTGTTGACAGCATGCTAGCTGAGGCACGTATCAGCTCTGCTGGAAATTCCCTGCAAATCTCTATTATAAATAAAGACTATTTTCTACAAAGTCCATTAATTCCTGCTGTCTTTTCCCTTGCTTTCCACAGCAAAAATAAAATAAAATAAAAATTCCAGAAAGACAAGAAGCAGTGTTCATTTCCCCATGGCTTTTGCCTGCCAAGGTTCCCATCTTATGATGATAACTCTGCTCACCTGGGGTTAACAAGGAAGTAAAAGGTGAACAGGTATCTGAGAACCAGAAAAATCACATTCAGACCACAGGCTTGCCCTTACTGGCCAGGTTCTTGTGGCATGGATTGAACTGTTGTCTGTCTGTAGGCCTGCCTATCTGCATGCCTGTCTGTCTGCATCTGTGCCTGGATGCGTGATACTGAAACAATGCACCCAGCCCTCAAGTTTATCATTGAAGCTCTGGTGCTAGGAATATATCAGAGTATATTCTTCTGGGAGGAAACCTTGGGCATCACAGAAGAATGACCAGAAGCAGCCTAGGAGAGTGAAGTGATCAAATCTCATTAAAATACAATAGATAGAAGGTACCCAACTTCAGCCTAGATTTTTTAATGTGCCGATCACATTAATCTGCAGTGGGTCGTGCTGTCATTTTCCCTTCCTAAATGCACAGTAATGCCTTTCAAGAACACTAATCTGTACAGCATCATCTTTATAAATTGAGCACATTCTCTCTATTGCCATAATCTACAGTCACAGAGCACAGGGCATCATATGGCTGCTGGGGATTCCTGCAATCTGTTACGGTTGTGGTAGCCAAGTTCTCCTGAAGTGAGACAGAAAACAGACCAAAAAAAGGAAAAAAGAAAGAAAGAGAAAAAAGCACACGCTCAGATCAAGTCCTTTCAGCATCTGCCTCAACATGAGGTGTGTCTTCTGTGCCCTTACCATCTTTTCAGCTCACCCAAAGCTACCATAGCCCACACAGAACGCACCAGGCAGCTTCAGCTTGGACTGACATCAGCTGCAAGATGTTCTCCAAAACTCAAGGCAATCTTTCTGATAGTTGTTAAACAAGCACTCCAGTGACCGACATGAAGGGCAGGTTTGCACCATCTCAAATGCAAAGACAAGAACAAGAAAAGCATGCCACATACCCACAACCATACGCAGATATGAAAGCTACACTGCATGTCATCCTACTGATTCTTAGAGTGCACCATCACAAGCCAGAAGAATGGCAATGGAATTTCCTGTTCTCTACTCCTGCTTATACATCAGCGTGCTCAGATGTAAGAGAAAGGGTAACAAGTGGACAGAACTCAATCAGGAGTGGAAAAGTGAATGTAAGAAACTGGACCATGCCTTCCCTCAGCCCTTTGAAGGTGAACACCAGTGCTGCTGTGCCTGCTGGAAGCCCTGAACCAAAGCCTGCTAGGTCAGGAAGATGACTGTGGGTTACTTCAGCAAATTTTACACCAGGCTGACAGAACAGATCATACTGACTTACAGGCCTGAACGTTTATCTTTAATGATGTAATTGTTGTCACAATCTGGGTTCTGGCTGGGAGTCTTACTTAATTTATCTGGCTTGAGTTAAGTACAGTACAAAGAGTTCAAATCCATGGAATATCTGCTTAGAAAACAACTTAGTTCATGAGCTAAAAGGCTGGCAATTGCCCTTGGCAAGTGAACAGATGAGGACAATAACTGTTACTTCCTCGAAAGTGTCTTTTTTGTTTTGTTAGTTTGTTTTTACACAAACCAAACAAAGTAAGGTTTGGGCCAGCAGGAACACACCAAAAAGATTAAATTTTATGTCAAGTCAGACTGGTAAAGAGAGAACACAGGCATCACTCCAGGCTATTTTACTTGGTAAGAAGGAAGAGAACCAGCAACAGGGCAGGCCAGCCTGTTCCATATATTCAACATGGGCAAAAGCAGGCAGTGTGACTTTAAGACTTCGCAGCCAATTAGGTGGTTGAAGCTTCCAAATTCAGCTGTGGCTGTGTTACTGCACCAAGCATCACTTAACTGCATCCAGCTAAACAGAAGACACAAAAGCCTTTAAATAGGCAACCTACTAAAAAGATGCCTTTTCCCCTTGATAGGACGAGGGGACATGGTTTCAAACTAAAACAGGATTGGATGCAAGGAAGAAATTTTCTACGCTAACAGCAGTGAGGCAGTGGCACAGGTTGCACAAGAAATAGTGGATGCCCCGTCACTGCAGACAGGCAAGGTCAGGCTGGATGGGGCTGTGAGCACTGCTGGAGCTGTGGGTGTCCCTGTGCACTGCAGGGGGTTGGGATGGATGGCCTTTGAAGGCCCCTTCCAACTCAGATGGTTCTATGACACTTACTTTCCCCAAAAGTCTGTTTTAAAATTAAGAAAATACAGGGTCTCTGTGTTAGAATTTTGCAACTATCAGATTAAGTACCACATTACAACTGTTTTTTTTAAGCAATGCTTCTAACAAACATCAGAAAATTAATTGCAATCTCTGTAGATTACACATATTATTCACAACATGTGACCTGGCACTCAGGACTTATACATTTATCACTACTTTATGTCCAGCACCTCTTTGAATTTCTTATGCCAGCCTCCATCCTGGCATTAGAACAAGACAAAAACCCAATCCTCATGTGCCTGCGGACTTGTGGGCAGCCTGAAAGCAAGCCCCAGAGGGGCCACTGAGAGTAAGGAAGCTGTAATGAGACAACTGAGTAGATGCTTGGAGAACTTTCCTCCAAGTTAGATGAGCTTTTTTGGAGACAGACTGAAGGTGCCTATCAAAGATTTAGATTGAGACCCTCAGGATGAGGAGGGATGAGAGCACTTACCTGACTCCTCCCAGCAGTTAAGCCATGTCAAGGGAAAGAGGATGAATTGCAGAATCATACAATGGCTTACATTGGAAGGGAACTCAAACCCAGCCCCAACCCCTGCCGTGTGCTGGCTGCCCCCCACCAGCTCAGGCAGCCCAGGGCCCATCCAACCTGGCCTTGGGCACCTCCAGGGATGGGGCACCCACAGCTCTGGGCAGCAGTGCCAGGGCCTCACAGACCCTGAGACAGACCCTGCCTGCTTCATGTCTCATCCACTCAACTCCCACCTGAGCCCCTGGTAACTGCAAGCTCTGTCAGCCACATGCCAAGTCATCTTCCAGCAAAAGGACAGAACAACGCTTGCCTCATTCTCTAACCCTCTTTAGGCATCTGGGATCCCACACACCAGCTCAACTTTACAGCCAGCACCAGCAGCCACTGCCCTACCATCACGATTCCCTCTCTGCTACATATAATGGGTTCTGAAAAGGGTAAATTTCCAGCCCAGAGCAGCATTAAGTCAAAGGAGAGCTGAATGCATTTTCCTGATGCAGCACAGAACTGGCAGTACCAAGTGCAGGACCCACACCTACAAGGCTCAGATGCACGCCTACTTTTCTATTCACAAGTCCCTTTTCAGCAGTTAAAGATGCCACAACTGAGAGATACTCATCTCTACAATTTCATTTTGGGAAATCTGCTTTATACCATGTTACCCTTCATGAAATAACCAGGACAGCTTATAGAGACATGACCTATATAAAGAGCTATTCTGCGTTCCACATTTTCTAGCAGCTTGTCTGTAAGAAAAAAAAAAAAATTAGCGCCTGTACATAATTCTTGTTCACATTTTTCCTATAACCTAACGATCAAGCTGAATTTAGGATCAATTTAGCTACAGATCTAGAGATTACTCTGAAATGGACTACTCAATCTTGCTAAAAGATAAGTGTCTAGCAGAAAATACTGTAAGCAGGCTGTGACTCTCTTCTTGCAGCTCATGTTCCCCAGAAATATCAGTTGCTTGGATGAGCTGAGCACTACTATGGTTTTCCACAACTCCACCAACAGGTCCTGCATTTCCCTGGGAAAGAATGCATAGGGTATGGTTCTCTCAAGAAGTTCATTTAATTACATAATTTTACATGAAATTGGTTTGTCAATCTGACCTGCCTCATTTCCGAACTGACAGCTCATCATAAGTGATGCATCTCAAACCACAGTGTACCACTGAAAGCACTGCAACTAAGCACAGGGCTTTCCTTATTTCTGACAAAGCCACCTAGAAGCCCAGCTATGTACAAACACTTCTGTATCACGCAGAATGAATAAAATAAGCATGCCTGGAGTACTGCAATAACAAGACTTCCAGGGAGCCCTCCACAACAACACACAAGTCCTCCCCCTCCTGTGGCTGCACACATCTCACAAATGACTGGGTGAAACGATCTGCCTGCTGGCTTGCAGAGGCAATGGGTGCCTATTGCTGAGTGTCTATATGGGCATCAGCACGTTCTGGCAGACACAACTTCAAAAAAAAGTAAAATGCTATGAGAACACCTAGAAATCCACAACCCTCTGGGAACGATGTCACAACTGCCAAATGAAGGTCTCAAGTGCTGGGAAGCTCCTGGATCACAGGTTTTATACTTAATCCTTTAGTAGTGATCAGAGCCAGACTCTAAGAAGGCAGACCCTGGTTCCTTCTCAATCTAATACCTCAAATCAGCGATTTAGCAGGGACGTCACCATTCCTGACATCTCATGTCGTTTCTGAGAAGAGGGAGAAAGTAATTAATAGCAGTAAAGCAATCAGTTGATGAGCTACAAAGAACTTTCCAGGGGAAAATTAACTGTTATAGCTCCAAACCCGCAATAAATCTTCAGTGGCCCACTTTGCATTTGAACTGAAGTGCTTTCAGCTCAGGCATTTCTGCTGACTAAACCTATTGCTGAACTGTTCCTGCCCAGTTTCTCGTAGGCTTTTAAATTGTTTCAGGGGTTACTATCATCTTTGTGAAGATCATGTTAAGTAATTCATTGCAGCCTCACCGTGGGATCTGATGGAATGTGTTTCCATTTTCACTGTCATTAAACAGTAGGGAGAAGATGTTTTGGGAATCCCTTAAAAGGCTCTCACTTGCATAACCCCAAATGCACACGGTTTGATAGTGATAGGACAAGGAGGAATGGCTTTAAGCTAAAAGAGGAAAGATTTAGGTTATTTAGGAGGTAATTCTTTACTCAGAGGGCAGTGAGGCCCTGGCTCTGCTGTGGGTGCCCCATCTCTGGAGGTGCCCAAGGCCAGGTTGGATGGGCCCTGGGCAGCCTGAGCTGCTGGGGGGCAGCCAGCACATGGCAGGGGTTGGGGCTGGATGAGCTCTGAAGTCCCTTCCAACCCAAGGCATCCTGTGATTCTGTGACTATGAAATTCCCATTTCAGAGCATTTGCCCTCTGGTTTCCAATCAACAAGCTTTACCTTGATGTGTTTCAGATATTAACATGAAAGTGGTAGCAAAGGAAAAACAGGAGAAAGAGAACAAGATTTTACCAAAATGAATAAAAAGAGTTCAGCATAAAGTCCCTTTGATTCTACAGCCCTGTCTCCTCAAACCTGCAGAGAATACTGACTGTGTCTGCACCTTTTCCTACAAAGTGTATTTCCATGTACGCTCTAATTTCATCAGACATTTGGTAACTGAAATGCTGGAGGGGAAAATCAGAATTAGAGGTTGATCACCTCCAACGCAGTGACAACTCCTTTCAATTGAGACTGAAGCAGCAGATTGCTAAAAGCTGACAGTTATCTTTTTAATAAGAGTCAGTTCTCTCTTGGACATCAGGTTACAGTTACACTCTCTGCCCATAGAGGTGGTGGTTCCCCATCCCTGCAGACAGCCAAGGTCAGGCTGGACAGGACTGTGAGCACTGATGGAGCTGTGGGTGTCCCTGTGCAGTGCAGGGGGTTGCAATGGATGGCCTTTAGGGGTCCCTTCCAACTCTAGGGATTCTATGATTCTATTCTATGATTGGCTCAGAGTCCAGGCTCAGGGTGGATAGACACTGAGAAATGTCTCAGTAAAAGGCTTTCATTTTCTTTCTGAAGCAGGAGTTCACCTTCAGTTTTCAGTCCTCAAAAATCTGCTTTGATAAGTGTTAAAGTTTGTTCAGCTCATTTGAAACTGACCAAAAAAAAAACAAAAACAAACCCAACCTAAAAACCAAAAACAAAACCAAGAAAACCTCCAACAAAATAAAACACCAAAACTTTGGAAAAATAAACTATCTTGAGAGCAATTATGAAGCCCCAAATCATAACTTGAAGTAGAGTGGAAAGCAGCCCAACATACAGTTTACAACATAGTCATCCTTACAAGAATACTGTGTGATTTCACTGTTACTAATAATGAAAAAATATGGTGCATATTTTGCCCTTTGTAAGCAGCCTGGAAAAGCACACGTGGAGACAAGGATTCCACTGAGATTAAGAATGACTGTAGCAACTCAGATTTTTAATGGTCTCATTCTAAACTTATTCCTGTAGCTCAAGAGATTTTTCTTAAAAATAGTTTTTGTGTTGAAATCTAAGAAACACGAGTTTACAAGGTAGCAGCATGCTGTTATAATCATCATGTTCTGCAGAGAGTGGCTGCACAAGAGTTGTTTTTCATATACAGAGCTGAATTTAACTACATGCAGTTAAACTCTTTCTTAAAAACTCACAGCACTTTCTGTATCACCCACAGTGGAGGTACAAGGGGACAAACTTTCCAAGACTACATTAAGTGGTTTGCTGTATGGATCAGGAGGAATTGATACAGCTCCTTGAGTTAGTGATCAAGAACAACCTTCCCCTATCAAAACACAAAAACTGTTTGTAGCAATAAGAACCACAAGAGAGACAAATTGTCAGCATCCAGTTTGCAAACAAACAAACGATGCAGGACCACAGGCAGGAGAAACCCAACCTGGAGCCATCATCTTATATCTCTAGTGGGGAAGCTGGAGATCCTCTGAAAATGTCTTCCTTTCCACTAACTGCAAAGCAGCTCAGGATGACTTGTGTTGGAAGGCAGAACTTTGAGAGATGGTTTTTCTGGATTTTTAGGAGTATTCCTGCTAAAAAAATCCAGTTCAGGATTCATTTTTCAAAATATCTCAAAGCTAAATGCTCCCACAGAACCTTGGAAACCTTTGGCTTGCCAAAGTCAATAGTGATGTTACTCAATAATTTACTGTAGCCATTCAGCTGAAATAAAATCATAACAGAGCACTCGCATTACATGATGCAATACAATCTTATTTACACTTTAAAAGAAATCATGAAGGCACATAGCTAGTGATAAAGCAAGTATTTTCTTTGCTGCTTAAGAATGCATTTTCCCCCTTGCCAAGTACCAAGCTGGCAGCCCTTAAATTAAGACATTAAAAAAATTGTCTTCATCTACTCAACAGAAGTTGAAAAATGGATTTGGAGGAGAAATGCTTCCTTCTGTGTTGTTACTGCAGCTCCATGCATGGTCTTGTAACAGATGACAGTGGACTAATTGATTAGGCTTACATTTCAATTTATCTCCACTACCTTGAATGCCGACCTTGCCAAGCACCCCTTCTACACAGCCTTGTTTGAGGCAGAGATCACACAACTCCAAGCCAAAAACTGCATGGCTTTCTGACAGCTAAGAGTTTAAAAACAGCATCTATTATAATCTTCCTTGCACATTTCTGAACTTTGAGGCTCAACACTCTCTAGAATTCCCCAATGAATCCAGGGTCACTGTGCAGCTGGTAAATGCAGAGTTATGACCTTTTCTTTAATTTGGGAAGAAAAGCTCACTTCAGCAACTTAAATACCTGGGGAATTCTGGACATCCAAGTAAGAGACTGAATACAGCATCTTCTAGTTAGATTACAACATGACTCAAGCACCACTTATCTATTTCTCCTACAGGCACCATTCTTGTTGGGAAAAACAAGAACCTTTGCAGCACCCTTCCAGGCCCACCAAGTCAGGTTGACCAGGCTGGCATTTTGGTCTCACCACTCTCTGAGATGATGGCTAACTTCTCCCTCAGTGCTGGGGGAATCCTTGGCCCTTTGAGTCTTAAACTGGAAAAAAAACACTCCAACTTTCTGGCTCTTGTCTATTTTGATAGAGGGTTTTTTTTGGCCTGTTGTGTAACTTACCACACATTAACATTATACTCAGATTAGTCACTAAAGCTCACTCTCAGTCATGACTGAGAACAGAAGGGGAACGTCTGCATGCAACAGCAGAAAACCCTGTGGGTAGGAAGCAGTATCAACTGTCAGTGAACATACTGAATCCAGTCCAAACTGATAGGAAAAGAAACACAGTGTCACAAAACTTACACAGATGACATGCAGGATGACAGCTCCATGCCTCCTGTCCTCGTTCGTGAAGATGTCATTGGGGAATTCATGGAGAGCTGCAAAAAAGAGAGAGAAAAAAAAGCCCAGATGCTTTACCACGTACTCAAAACTGCCAAGTGTACTGTTAAGTTACACAATACAAAAACACCAGAGCATTCCGTGGGGTGGCAGCCCTACAACAACCACCCTGTGGACCCCATGCAGAAGCTCTTTGTTCCACTTAGGTTCCAGCTTAGCTTAACTTGTCCTCTGTCAATCAGATGTCTTGCTTACTGTGCAATTTGCTTCCGTAGCAACCATGAGCTGTGTACCCAAAGACATTTTGGAGAGAGCAGATAAACCCCAAGGACACACATCACTCTTCCAGAAGAGTCCAAGGGGAAACAGCATATTCATGTAGATGCCAACAGGTCACTCCCAGAAAGCACTTCTAGCTTATGGTTTTGTACCTGGAAATGGATGGGATGGGTAAAAGCAGAGGGCAGGTGCCAGAAATACTCTAAATAAATCTCAGAGTCTCCTACTAATACAGCACTGATCCATATCCACAGCTACAGCGGGCTCTGCATCTCAGCCTTACTCCTCCCCTGCTTTTACCTTATTGATGATACATATAATGCCCTGCTGCATTGCTAAGAAATGGGGCTGGCTCTCTGATCCCTCACAAAATAAGTGTAGAGAGTTGCAATTAGCACTGCGGGAAAGCAGCACCTGTCTCATCTGAATGCATGCTGGCTTGATTCCTTCCCCCTCATCTGCACACACAAAATGCTTACTTTGAAGAGGCTGCCCGCAGCTGCCGATGCTTGGAGGCACACTATGACAGAAGTCATTTCCTCTGCAGGCGCAGAGGGGACATCATGTGCCATTTAAGCCCATACTTTGCTTTTCCTGTCAATGCAGCCCCAGAAGACAGCTCATTTTGCTCCTCTCTACAGCTATGTTTCCCATTCCCTCTGACTCTTCTCCTCTCGACTTCCCAGCACTGAGTCCTCCAGCCGATCCCTGGAATTACTGAATGCTCTCCACATGAGCAACAACGTTCTCCCAGTGCTGTTCCCAACAGCACACACTTGGCAGCAAACTCCCTTTGAGCTGTTCTAACTTTTTTTCCTTGCCCGGGTGCCTCTTATTGCCCTCACTGAGTGAACAATGCCAAGACGCTGGTATTTCCCTTACGGTTCCTAGGATGACTTGCTGTATTAGATAATCAGCGAAGGCCTGAAAGAGGATGAAATCCAAGACAGCAGCAGATAGTGAGCGTCACGTACAGAAGAACTGTTTCACCTTACCCACTTTTTAGCTTTACAAATCATTTGTGCATTTCAGATCAAAACGAATCTTTCTTCTACCTTCAAATTTCACTCCGACTCCTCAGAGAGGTCCTCGACGTGAACAAGACCTTTGATGTACAGCAGCAGAGATGCACAGGAGGTTTTCACAAAGGCATGTCGGATATTTAGAAAAAAAGCAAGCATGCCAAAGCCTCTGGATTAAGAGGGAAGGCTTAGGATTACCGTGAAGCCCTGTGAGCTGTAACCCTGCATACCTGGATGGGGAAAAGTCAGTCAGAGCAACACACACCTGAAGTATCAGAAACGTGTTTTCTGCTATGCTCTACACCATAATAACCAGTTTGACTTCCCACTTTCTCCACGTACTCCAGTGCTCAGCCAAAGATGATCACTCAGCTGGTCTAAGGCTGCCAATCCCCAGGTCCTCCCCTCAGCTGCAGCCCCCCATAATACAACAGCTATGTTCCACCTGTACAAGGATGGTGCTCTAGGATTCCCATGGCACAGCCTGCACATGTTCCCAACAGCAGTTTTATCCCTGCAGCAAACTCAAAGGGAAAGTCATTACTGTTCTGAATGAAGGATAGAAGCGTTCCCTCTTACTGCAGTTATGCAGTAGGATTCAGGCAGGATCTGTGCTCTAATTAGCTTCCAAAAGAGCATCTGGTGGCAGAAGTGAACCATGAAGAAACTTCTTGCAGAAACAATTATTTCAAATAACAATATGATAGAGCAGGAGAGAAAAAGAAACAACACAACTCAAATCAGATGCTGCTTCACTCAGAATCAGCAGATCCTGCATCCAACCTCATTATTCCCACCATAAACTGAGGCTAACTTTGCTGAGAACAGGAGGTCCACCATGCTTCTCTGTAATCCCATTATCAAGACTCAAGGGCTTAGAATGGTCCAGAAGAAGACCCTCCATTGACTATCTGTTGGTGATACCAAGCATGGTAATCTAAATGCAAAATCCATCTTCTGTAATCCTTGTCTTTAGCAGTCAGCACGTCAGAAATGACCTGTACACACTGTTGCTTATGCTTCTCACAAGGCATCCTCCTAACAACAGCCCTCCTTGCCAGAGGACACAGTCCGTTACTACAGTGGAAAATCAACTATACAGGCACTTTGCTCCTGCCTGAGGAGGCAAAATGTGCCTCAATCTGTGCAGATACAGTAAGCAGTCTTCTACAAACCTGTCCAGTGCCATGAGCTCATACAATCAGAAGACTACAAAATTATTGTCATCATATGGGACCCTGAACGGCACTGAAAGTGAACAAAGACCACATTCTACCAGCATTCTTGCACAGAAATGGGCTGAAGATAACAACAAATGGTGTTTCTACTTATGCAATCCCACTGGAGCAAGTCTTACAGAATGTTAGACTGTTGTTTTGAAAACAGCACTTTGGGCTCACAGTCAACGAAGAGCTTGACAACATAACTATATGAGGTATTAGAAAACTTAAAGACCTCGAGATAGATAACCCAGTGCTTTATGCATACTGCACGCTACTTGGGTTTCTCCACTTAGGATACAGATGAAGGGAACTAAAAAAGATACTAAGCTACAGACTGGCACCATGAACAACCTCCTGCTCCCTGCCCCTGTTGGTCTTGAACCTGGAAATCACATGGTAGAATGGCCATGGGAGGTAATGGAGGTCCAAAACAGTGCAGCCTCCCTGCTTCTTGGGGAGTGTTATTAGAAAAGGGAGGTTCTGAAACTCTCCAGGTGCTCAGTACTTGGCCCACTTAAAATACTTGTTGATTTTTATTGTACAAAGAACTCTTCAATGGAATAGAACTGTAACCATAAATAGACAGCCAACCTTCAATGAAATGACTGCCAAAACAATGGATGAAGCCTGAATGCTGAATCATGCATCATCTCATTGCCTGATGGACTGTCACAGTGTATGGAACAGTGCAAACTGGCTCTCACCTTTAACAGTGAGAGAAAGATGCCAGGTGCCATATTATGTTGAATGGAAATGGAACTGATACGTTGGTACCCAAAAGCTGGTCTAAGAACATTAACTTACCCAAATCCTTGAACAAGGGCCCTAATAAGTCTTCCATGCTTGTGATACTATGGGGTTCTTTGTGTGTTTGTGGTCGATATGGCTGGTTGTACTCACCCTTTAACTGGGCTGGACAGTGTAGTTGGAGATGGCCCCATACACCCAGTGTAACACACTCCAAACTACCACAAACACCAACTAACAGGCAAATCTTTCTTACCAAACATGGATATAAATGAACTGCTTGGTCATTCTACGCCATAGCCATCCTCTCTCCACAAGCTGCAGTCATCAAGCACCTGCATTAGCTAATCACACTGCAGCAGCACTAAGTTTAACACAATAAGCTATTGGGCTGATTAACCAGGAATCAGAAGAAGCATGAAAAACCGTTCTGTAGAATGGCATGCCATTAGACATATTGACTGCTGCCCAACGGATTGCCAGTGTGCAATCATTACCAACGATTGTTGGGCACGTATTCCTCATGTTTTCAGAAACGTAACTCATACGATGATACAGATGAAGATCCAAATGACTCAATTTGAGCAACTAACAAATGATCGTGTCAATATCTAGTTAGCCTCCATACCCCGACAGGAGAGAAGATGGTTGTACAGTATTATTGGGTTCTGTCTTATCTGCCCTATTAATTGCTGCTCACTCTAGTGCTTACGTGGGATTTGGATGCAGCGCACACCAGTTATCTCCAAATGAGCTATGTCTCAATTCGAGCCATGAAGTGGTGGAGCATGCAGCAAAATACAGATCCTCCCTAAAGGAGGCTCGCAGTTCGCTCTGGCTTTCTCTCTGGGTTTAAGTGCACTAGAGTCATAAAATCTTGGAAACGACAGTCTAACAAGCATCCAGGAAAACCAATGTCCCACTATGCTAATCCAGAAAACAGCTCAGCGATTTAATTTGTTCAGTGTACCCTCATTAAGAGCTATATCTTTTTGTTAGGTTTGCAGTTCTCGTTCCAAAGTCAAGTAATGGGTATAACAGTTGAAAAGAGCATGCAATATAATTGGATAACCTTTGTTGCAAAGTTGTTGCAAGTCATTTAAAGATAAATTACTTTCATTTACTCAAATGCTTTATTACATTTCTGGCTGTTAATTGGATTATAAAGCACTTAAAGACAGTCTGCCAATTAGGTTGCAGGCATGGCTTTTGGTAATAAACTGCAAAGCATGTGCAAGGAGGATGTTCTGGCATTCGGAGTGTTTCTCAGTAATTCCCATTTGAATTGCTCAATAAAAGCTAAAATAACAGTTTTCTTCTAACGGTCAATTCTACACGTTCAGTCTTGAGCTGGAAAAACCAAGCTGCTTTTTCCTGGCTTTCACATCATTATCATGAGTAAAGCTTCAGCAATTGGAATTTAATTAGCAATTCCATAGATGATTGAATGGAAAAAGAACGCAGCTAACTCTCACAGCTCCGCCGCCTACTAAGCAGTAACTGAGCAAGAAGGAGCTCCATCAGGTTTGCTACAGACCCAAACAAGTGGTTTTGTTCAGGAAATCGTCCTCACCATTCGCCAAACCATAAGACACTGCAAAGGAAACACGGGGGAGCGTTTGTAGCCACACGCAGAATGGTTTGCTAACACACGTGCACACGCTTCTCTTCCTCTTGCAGCTGCTGAGAATTTTGTCTCTTAGCAGACAGAGTCAGAAAATCCAGCCCCTTCATCAGGAGTCTGCACTTGTTCAAGGAGACTGAAGT